TCTTTAGATGCAAGTGGTTTGACCCAAATCCAACAAGAGGTACAAGAGTACACCACCAATACAACATAATTGAGGTTAATCATACGAGGGAGTATGATCGCTATGATCCTTTCATAATTACACTTAACGTTAGGCAAGTGTATTATGCTCCTTATCCATTGCGGCCGAATAAGTTCAATTGGTGGGTTATAATAAAAACTAATCCTGTAGGTAGGGTGGAAGTCGAGAATGTGTTAGATGTTGCATATCAAAACGATATCTCCAGTATTCACCAAATAATGGACAGTCAGTTAGAAAATAATTTGGAACATCTTGAACGCATATTGGAAGAAGTTGATATAAATAAAGTGAGGACGAAGAAAGAGTGCTCAAACAAGTGAGGACGAAGAATTCTCGGACGAGGAACAATACGTCGATGAGGATTAAAAAGTTGGTTTTTTAAAGCACTCTCATTTTATAGCTAGTTTCTTATATGTTTCTATCTAAATGTGTATTATATTATGCAGATGGCAGGCAAGGGTCAAGGTAACAATGACTCTACTAGTTCTCGGGGTCGAGAAAAGGGTAGGAAGGGAAAGAGGAGGGTAAAAAATAATAGTCCCTCTTGTCCACCCTTTTCAAAGATGCCTATATCTTATCCTCCACCACACGGCTATACTGAGCTGCCACAGCATCACGAGCCGTACACCTTCATTCAGACACCAAGTCTTCCATCACAGGGCTATAAGACTATACGTCCGACATACAGTCCAGCTGCCTCACAGCCACATGGATCGCATCCATCCATGTCACAACCACTCGGGTCACAGCCATCAGCATCACAGCCACTTGGGTCACATCCAGCTATGTCGCAATCACAGGGATCACAACTATCTTCATCATCGACTCCATCTATTGCAGGCCTTCGCCTGCGAGGCAGTAGCTCTGACCCGCCTACACCGTCTACACATTCCTCTGATATACATGCTTCGGATGATGATGACGAGGTAGTGCATTATGATCGATATGGTAGGATTATCATAGTCCCTGAGGGTGATGGGTAAGTGTTATTTGTTATTTTTGCGTCTATTGATTTGTAACATTTTTGCTAAGATATTAATGTGTTTTTATTGTTAAATTGCAGGTTCAGGCCCGGTAATAAGACTACGAAGATAATCACCAATGCCATCAGAAAGCTTTATGATGGCCCTTATGCGACTTGGACTGATTGCCCATTCTCGCTGAAGGAGCAAATTTTCAATCAATTTAAGGTATAAATGTTCTTTTAACAGTTTAATAATTTATATTTATGATGTTTCCATCTAATATTTAATTTTTGAAATACAGAGCAAGTGTGTATGGGAAGACCGCTATAGCGCGGAAGTGGCTGCAAGTTTTCATCATAAAGCTCGCAAGAGATTAGCGGATGCTTTCTCGGATGCTAGAAAGAAGAACAAAAGGCCTGGTTACTTGAGAATTTGTGGAATGATTTGTAAAGGCAATGGCTTACCGCGGAGTTCTTAGAGAGGAGCGAAAAAGGAAAGAAAGCTCGCGCATCCGAGAAGAGAGTCTCCTTGCACACTGGAGGTGCGATCGGCCTAGGGACAATAAAAAGAAGATTGGTACGTAATTGCTTAAATTATTTTACTTTTCTAAGTATATCTATTCTGTTTATTAACTAAATTAATTTGTTTTCAGGAAAAGAAGTATGGGCGTCCAATGAGCCATGATGAGCTATTCAAGGAGATTCATATTGTGAAGAAGAAGAAAGAGGGGGATCAAGATAGGTGGGTCGAGGACCGGGCCTCGGCTGCATATGTATTTTTAATTACCGACCAAAGTTGGTCGATTTTTTTTTAATTTTAATAATTAATAAAAAAAAATATAATTTAGTTAAACCAACCAACTTTGGTCGGTAAAATTAAATTAATAAAATATATTTTCGACCAAAGTTGATCGGTAAGTACTTTAAAGTACTTAAAGAATAGATGTCAAACTGCCAGAAAGCGAATCGTTATTGATGAATTTTTANTATTGATGAATTTTTTAATCTATTTGTGGCATCATTAAAATTAGCTTCAGATAGAATATGGAATGGTTTGTTTATTGTTTCTCTTCGCAATTCTGAAGGTGAAGATGCTTGCTTGCTGGCTGTGATTCTTGACATTAGTGATTTACTCAAAGCCTATGAAACAGATTAAGATTTAAACTTTATAATTTCGAATTCGAAAATCTAGAATAACTCATTTAATTTGTTAGATTCGATATCTATTACACTTTATATTTATTTGGCTTTTTTTAACAATATATATATAAAATTTAAGCCAAAACTACCGAATTCAGATAAATTCATAATATATATATAGAACATTCGCTCCTGATGCTATCCGTTTCTAACATTTTTAAACTGTTTATATTGTGGAAGAAAATTGTTTATATTTTATAGTATATGTTCCTTAGTTCGTTCTTCATCCAAATATAATATTGATGCACGTCTAGTTGATGGAGTACCCACCTGGCAACTTGTCAACTTGAAGAAGAGCATTATTTGGTTTTTTTTTTTTTTTTTTTTTTTTTTTTTTTTTTTTTTTATGAAGTAAGAAGAACATTATTTCATGGCCCTTAATTTGGAAGATATAATCTATAATGGCAATGTAACATATCTAAGGAAACACATACAGCTGTATAATATTTCAAATTGTAACACAAAACGAATTCTATTTCGTATCTTCAAGATTTTGCATCTTGTTTGAAGTTCGAACGAGTTATCACGACCACTTGCAAAAGGCAACATACTTCCTCAAGCAGCACTTCAGAGAATGATAATACTTAATGTTATATTTTTATTATTATTTACATGTAAATAAAACTTCTAAGTCAAATAGTCTCTAAACTAATCACATTCTAAGGGAAAAAGAAAAAAGCAACCTGCTATAAAGCTTAAGCTAATCATTGCAGATATTTTATTACCATTATTATTATTATTATTATTATTATTTTATTACTTATTTTGGTCCTTAATATAAGCATCTTTAATAGGAAAATAATGAACTTTAAAGTTGCCTTCTTTAGTTTATCTATTAAAATAAGCCAGTAGTAACCATGAGTCCACTTGTCATGTCAAGTAATAGCGAGTTTCCCATAAGCATGTGAGACACAAAATAAACTTTCTTTGCCTATTATCTAAGCAAAGGATACATGGAAAACATCACGAGCGATTGTCAAATGAAGTCGCTCAACGTGGCATATTGATATATCTTACTATAAGAGCAATACATTGCCATCCTTTAGGGCAAAACATAAATCAAGACATGCACATCACTCGATCATTGAAAGCACATATATATAAACTTTCACAACCAAGGGAGGGGTGTACTGAGATGATTAGAATTTTTTTATTCTTAACGAGAGGTTTTGAGTTCGAGTTTTGAAAATGGTGAACCTTTCGACAGGAAATACTTTATTTCCATGGTGGCCCTATCCGGCGTGAAACTGGACACGTCGGACAAGTGAAATTTGGATACCGAATAATTAAACTGAAAAAGGAAAAGAAAATAACTCCCACAACAAGTAGAATTGTCATCGACTGATGGTTATGTGAAGTTGCGAAAAACTAGGAGTATATATATTTGCACGCTGACTATTTTAAATCACAGCTGGGGGATGCAACCATACGCAGATTACCTGTTGAAGTCAACTTCCTTATAGCTTCTGACTGAGAAAATGAGTTGATGTGGCATGAGTAACATGGCATCAAATTCAAAGATTAGAGCTACCAGACAGCTGTGGGCCGGAAAATAGCTCCACAAGAGTATGAGTTGCAAGAATCTCCATATAACTTGGATCTAAAGCTGGTGAAATCGAATTGAAGCTGGTGAAATCAAATTGAAGTTGGCTCAAAACACCGATGTTACCCCTTTAAATTTTAAGCAAGTAAACACTGAGTTGAATTTGAAACCGACAGGCACGACAAATTAAACATATTAAGAAATAGCCAGTCACGCAATTTTCTTGAGAAGTGTAAAAACAATAGAATTACAACCAGCAGTTACACTGGAGCCCACAGAAGATCTTTTAGCGGCGATTGTTGATTGGTAGTAGCAAATAGGTTTCAGCAAAACTTAATTTCGGAAGTATTTATGGCAACTTAATGACAGTCGCCACTGAAATTTCGCTCTTCGTGGCAACTAGCATTAGGGTCGTCAAAACTTCCTTTCTTGTGGTGGTAGTTAATGCTTATATATGGTAAAGTTATTGCCTTGAGTCAGTAAACTCAACCTTAATTTGTATATGTTTAAGGTGCTAAAGCTTAAGTTGAGCTAGCAATCAACTAGATGAGGCCCATCTGTCAGTTGTTTTATATTGACCTCTATAGTTGCTCAATGTACAACTATATAATAGATGGTTAGATCTTTCGACGTTTTTGAGAATGTTAATCTTTAATTATTTCTATTTGTCATGCTTTAGTTAGATCTTTCAACGTTTTGAGAAAGTTAATCTTTAGTTATTTCTATATGTCATGCTTTAGTTCAATCGGAAGAAGTCATTGAAATAGTAGGCTCATCAGTATCAGAATTATCCTTTGGTGGTAAATTGTCACAACCCGATTTTTAACCAAGTCGTAACGACATTCGGTGCCTTAACTTGACCGAGCGAACCATCTAGGCTTTTCTATTCTGTTCTATTTCTATTGTGCAATGCATCTCAACACAATTCAATAAAATTTAAAGCAAATTCTTTTCTGAATCTTTAATCGAAATAATAGTCTGAAAAGAAATTTATTTTGTTATCTGGAATACATTGAAAAATAAATATAATACAAAGTGGACATCCATGACTCTGTTCTGACACTGTCTATATGAAGCCTCTAAGAAATACTGAATAGTAAGACAATTCTGGAAACAACGAACTCAACATACTAAAATGGAGCTCACCAAATTTGTTGGTAATGGGAAGAGAATATCCTAGCTTCTAGCCTGCTTACCTGAAAAATTTGTGCCTACATTGACATAGGTCAATGTAGGTTCTTGTAACGACCCGGCCGGTCGTTTCGAAAATTAGAGCTCCGATCCCCTAATATCTACTTTTTCCTCATTTGTTTCTGCTTTTGGGATTTGTCGGAGTGATTGGTTATGGAATTCGGGGAGTTTTGGGACACTTAGTCCCTAGTTGTGAGTTTAAACCTTAGAAATTAGACCGTAGTCAGAACTGTATGAAGACGGATCCGGAATGGAATTTCGTCGACTCTGTTAGCTCCGTTGAGGGATTTTGAGCTTAGGAGCGCGTCTGGAATATCTTTTGGAGGTCTGTAGTAGATTTAGGCTTGAATTGGCGAAAGTTAGATTTTCGGCGATTTCGACAGATAGTGGAATTTTTGATATCGATCTTGGAATGGATTTTC